TAATTTCATTAGATTCTAAAAATCTGAACTACCCAAAGTTTTCTTGTCGAACTTCTTTACCACTAAAACCGGATGAGGGAACTAAAGATATTGCTTAAGTTTGAATTATTTACTCTATTCCCGTTTGTTTTCCCCAGCTTATACTAAAGACGAATTTAACTTTATTATCGTTTCCATTTTAGTAGTTCCTCTGGTTCCCACTTTGTTCGTCGATTCCCGACGAACGCTACACATTATTAATGCGGTTTAAATAGTTAAGTTTTGGATTGTGCAGGAAACAGTTTAAAATTGGGAAACCAGCTTGGGATAAACAGTTTCTATGGCGTAACAGAACTCTATATTTTACGGTCATTTTCTATTAAGTTGAATAAAATTAAGAGTATATTATATACCGAGTTAAAATACCTCGAAGTTTTTATTTTGAGAATGAAAAATGTATTTAAAATATTTTATTTTTGTTTTTTGATATTACTAACGTTTCAAAACAGTAAAGCCCGTTTCACCTTGTACTTGGATGCTGCCATGTAATTATACTTATCTGTATGCTAAAGAAGAAAACATTTGACCAATGTGCACTGCCAGTCATGACCTATGCATGCGAAACCTGGACAGTTAAAACGGACATCATAAGGAAACTGCAGGTCGCGCAACGTTCAACGGAACGAAATATGCTGGGAATAACCAAGAGAGATTGTAAAAGAATAGAGTGGATACAGCAAAAGACCCAAATAATAGATATCATCCACAGAATCGAATCCCTCAAATGGCAATGGGCAGGATACCTGGCAAGAAGAACGGACAACAGATAGACAAAAAAATTACAGCATGGTACCCACGAGGAATTAAGAGACCTAGAAGAAGACCGAACCTGAGATGGGACCATGAGATTAAGAAATTAGCAGAGATAACTTGGGCCCGCATAGCCAACAATAGACAACATTGGACCCAACTAGAAAGAGAGTACGTGAGGGAGGCTACACCATAATTGGAAATGATTGAATAAGCTAAAAATGATGATGATATGGATGCTCGCGCCCCTCACTTTTACGCTGCTTGTGTCGTTTAAATAATTAAAATAAACTGTTTTATTTAAGCACTGTTGCCAACTTAGCGGTTTACCGCAAGATGTGTCGTTTTTTTTTCAGTTTAGCGGGAAAAATAATTTAATAGCTAGCGGTTTATGGAGCTTACTAACCAGAGACAGGTGTGTAATGAGATCAAACTGAGGAAATGGAGGTGGATTGGTCGCATATGAGGCGTCAAGTTGCAAAATCCGCCTTATCGATTTTTTAAAAAAATGGCCCAATGACATATATTAATAGTGGACCCTGAAATCTGCATAAACATAATCCCAAACTGCAGTGAAAGTCGCCTATTCCTATATAAAATTCACTACAAATTACGTTACTGCAGCAAAATCTGTCTTAGCCACTTATATTTGCTTTTTATTGTTTAGAATTTAGAATTTAGAATGAGTGGGAGGGGGGTTAATCACTGCGACCTTACATATCTATTGTGTTCCCCTTTCTTGAGATATAACTCATCATACTGTCCCAGGGCTTTGACAAAAGCCAGTATCTAGGACGGTTTTATAGAGGGTTTTAGTTCTCCATCTCCAATATCAGTCGTACCAAAGTTCATGGCACGAATGGTTGTCGTCTCGGCGCACTCAGTGATGAGGTGTACTGGTGTTTCCCCATTTTCCCCACATAATCTGCATTCGCCGTTTCTTCTTAGTTTCAATCTACTGAGGAGACAGTGTCCTGTTAAAAACCCCGTGACAATCCGAATATTGTTCTTGCTTAAACCCAGGAAGATCTGTGATTTTTCTTAATCGTAAGCCCTCAGAAACTTCTTCGAGTGTCTTAGACCGTTGCAAGATTCCCATTCCAGGTTGCGGATGGAATGCAGAACGGTTCTGGTCCAGTTAGTGGAGTGTTCGCTCCTTTTCTAGCTAGATCATTTGCTTTTTCATTGCCTTCTATCCCTTGTTGAGCAGGCACCCAGAGTAGGAGGACTTTGTTTTCTTTGCCTAATTTATTCAGCTTCTCTATACATTCTTTGACCAATTTCGAATTGATTGATACTGAGTTGATCGCTTTTAACGCTGCTTGACTATCAGATAATATGGCTATTTCTTGTTTCCGATAGTTTCTATCTAAGATAAGAAGTATTTAGTTCTCGGCCCAAACACTCCGATCCCTGTTCCCGTATTGGTTTTGGAAGCATCAGTATACCAAGTTATGGTATGGTCTTTTAACTGCTGGGCAGACGTTTCTCTCTTCCAATCTTTTTTATTGCTCAATACTATATTGAGATGTTTCTCAAAGTTGTACATTCTTGGCATATCGTTCACTGGGAGTTGCAGGAGTGGTATTTCCCTTTTGAGGGTGTTCCAAGCCCCTGATCTGACAATTCTCCCAGTGCTGATTCCGCTAGTGACCATTCTAATCATTGTCGCATTGGCATATCTACCAATGACAATGTGCAGTGGTGTTAGATCTAGAATGACCTCCACTGCTGCTGTTGGACATGTTCTCATGGCTCCTATGATGCAAACACATGCTAGTCTCTGGACTTTGCACAGGTTTAGCCTTGCCGTCCGTTGCTCTAGTTTTGTGTACCAGGCAAACTGCTACATAAGTAATCATGGGTCTTACTATCATGGTATACATCCAGCGCAAAATGTTAGGGGAGCAGCCCCATCTATTTCCGGTCAGTCTTCTGCAGTCATTATTGTTACAAATTCGGCATTTTTTCATAAGCTTTTTACACAAGTATAATATTACTGCTGACATCTTTTCAAATCCTTACTTAATTTTAATAAAATATTTTTTTTTATAAATCCAGTTAGGATGCAAATAGGGTATAATAGAAAAAAAACGGCATCCAGTTGGCTAGGAAATGACGATCGATGACATTTCCCATATGAATTTAAATAAAAAATAACAGCGTTCTTCATTTCATAGCCAATATGCATCTTAGTGCAACAAAACCCGCCTTATCCGAATTATTTTTGTGTTTTTTCTGTTTAGAAATTAAATATTAATTTTTATTTCTAGAAAAACGAGATACAATGATTCCACTAAATGAACACGTTTTTTGTAAATTAACGCTTCAAACATTAGCTTAAACAGTTTTTGCTTATTATCTCGAAAGGACGTTTGTGGGATAAGGCGGGTTTTGCAACTTGACGCCTCATATGAAGGCGAAGCGGCAACATCGCTGGCAGAGCTATTAAGTGGAATCCACAAGGCAGTAGAAGAACTGGTCGTCCAAGACACACATGGCAAAGGACAATTAAAAAGGAGATCGAAGCAGTAAACCGATCATGGCGAGATGTCAAACCAATTGCAAACAACCGAACCCGCTGGAAAGCATTTATTGAAGCACTATGCTCCACTTTTTTTTAGCAGTTTACGTTCTTGAATAATAAATAAATATATTTGACACAAAAATTATTATTTGCATTTTAAAGAACAATTTTTTTCCAAATTTCCATCAATATCACGTAATTTTCATATATTCTTAAAGTATCTAGGTAGCCTACTAAGAACAGAATCGCCTAGAATCTTCGAAGTCACATTAAATCCGTCTGATCACGCTATGAGAGCTTTACCAACATAGGTACAAAAATTCGCGACACGCCAAAATTCAGTTTCAGTATCGCTTAGCGGATTTAATTACTGGAGCAACAAGGACGTCACGGCACTTCATAGGATTATATCAAATGACTTATTCACCATTAAATCTTGGTGCGATTCGAACCTCCTGAGTCTCAACATTTCTAAAACTAAAGCTTTGTCGTATAAAAACTCGCTGCAACCTTTTGTACTTAACAATACTACCATTGACGTCGTAAAATCTGTAAAATTCTTAGGACTTCTTGTGGACAATTCTCTGAAATGGGACATGCATATCGAAGCTTTGTCAAAAAAATTGAGCTCTGCCTGTTTTGCATTAAGATCTGTTTCTAAGGAGCTTAACTTTGTCAGTGGCTAGAACTGTTTATTATGCACTTTTTGAGTCGCACCTCAGGTATGCCCTTCCATTCTGGGGTACGTGTTGTGCGACTCAATTTGACCGCATTTTCAAGCTCCAGAAGAGAGCTGTTCGATATTCACTGGGACTAAACAGCAGAACTCATTGCCAGGACTTTTTAAAAAAATTAAAAATATTAACTCTTCCTTCCTTATTTATATTTGAATCCGTTTGCCTAATACGTAAGCATGTATCAGCTTCTCAAGAAAGGCCATCTCACACTTATCCACTCAGGAACGTGGAGCAAGATCTTTATCTACCTACCCCACGCTCAGAGTTAGTTAAAAGTTCAATATTATACAACTCGAAAAAAATGCACAATCACCTGCCATTTGAAATCAAATCCATAACATAATTTTCTTCTTTTCGCAAAGCATTGAACTGTTATTTACTAGACAAGGCTTTCTACGCCGTAAAGGAATTATATTTTGATAATCGAATTTGAACTTGTAAACACTGGTCTAATGTTTGCTATTGCTATATTTACCAGTGACACCGAAATAAATTTATTTAGAGGTCATTGATATTCACTAGAAACTAACTAAATATTTTTGAATATAATTTTTTTTTTATTCTTTGACGTTGTAAACATTTATATAAATGTTTATTTTAAAAAATAAGACTGATAATGTTATTTGTATAATGTTTTGTATTATCTTTTGTTTGTTTGTGTACCTTGTTTGTTTACTTTGTTTGTTTATTTTACCTTTGTCTACAAATTGTAAATTTTTTTGACAATAAAGGCATTTATTTATTTATTTAAGCGGTTTTTATTTACGAATCTAGAAGGTGTTCGTCAGCGAACTTAGAGAATTCGCAACCCTGTATACAAGTCGAGTTGGAAAGCTTTATAACATTCAAGTAAATAGGCTAGCTGCTGCTTACATTTTCATTGTAAACTAACATGTTAAAAGATAAAAATAATCATAAAAACCATTGTAAATAATATTTTAACTTACCTTAGGAATGTAAGGAAGAGCATCTTTGAGAGTATTGCGATAGAAGTGGTTTTTCTGCGTTGGATCCTTCATCATTATTGTATCCAGGTATTGCAAGGCGTGAACTGTTGGATCGCTATTAACATAAAAGAAATGTTACATTTTTAACAATATTTTTTTATGTTCTCTGCTATTTAACATGAATACATTTAGAAATTAAGATTAATAGAATTATAAGTACTAGTTTTAATATTAAAGGACGTCAGAGTAAGTGGACTTTAAAGATGTAAATATCATAGCTTACTTCGGGTTTTTCTTATAACCTATTCTAAATCGTTCTAGAACTGTGATACTGCAGCAGAAGTTAATATGAAGCAATCTTTCCATTTGTTCATGCGCTGGCTGTAAAGTTCTAGGACGGTCCAGAATCGATAATTCATAAAATTCCTACATACAGAAATCGAGAATGGTAAATAGAAAAGATGTTTCTTTTGACCAGACATATCATGTCTTAAAGTAGGCTTGCACTTTTTTCTGAGACACCTTGTACAAAATATGATAATAATGTTATTCATATTATGAAGATCTCCGAATATAACCATCTCAGTTTGATGTATAACAATTAAGTTTCGTCTAAACTAAACAAACTTTATTTAAAGTCGATGTCGTGGAAGTTCTATTCTCGGGAGATGTTACCCACGTAGAACTTCAGACAGTTCATTAACGGGAACGTTAATGGGTTTGACGCAGAAATAATTCGTTCCGATAATTAAAACAATTAGGCGAATTGTACTAGAGCCATTAATTGAGAATAAACGCTATTATCGACGATTTTGCTGTCAAAATAACCGAAGATAATCTCTTTGGATAATATTAAACTGGCAGATTTAAAAGTTCGATTACTTATTTTTTGACCAAATGCCAAAATGACATTACTGGCAAGTAAAAAAAGTTTAAAGTTAAAGTTTAAAGATTAAATTAGAGGCCTCGCAATTAGTAGACTTCAATTGGTGGTTTCAAATTATACTACTATACTTTTAGTTTACAACAAGTTTACAATCATTCTGGCGACTAAAAAAACACAATTAAAATTAATAGAATATCCTAGCAACAGTTTGCGGTATTGGCTGTATCCATAGAAGCCGAATATTTAACATAAATCAATAAACTTTCGATTTCTAACCACATTTTCTCTTGACGAATGATAATCAAAATCCAAAATGAAATAAAACAAAAAAAAAAAAAAATTAGTGGAAAAGTTAAAAGTTTGTTAACTTTTTTTTTTTTTGATTGATTAATAATTTTAACGTTCTGAATGCTTACATTCAAAATAGAGGAACAAACTTCTACCTAATTGGAAACCACTAATTTGTTCATAGATATCGAGATTCTGAATGAAGCCTAAAACATCCCCCATAGAACTTCGTCTGTCATGTTAAGAAATGATAGTAAATAATAAGCGCCTCTCGTGTTTGTTCGCACTCAAAACATTTCAATTAATGCCTGTATATTTTCAATATATTTTTAAATTACATTTTTTTAATTGTAAAAGTAATATACATTTACATGGAATATTACATAACAATTATATCAATTACAGTTACAAGCTTGTTTTTCTAATATTTTTTTTTTTTTTTTTTTTTAAAATATTAATATATGTATATTTAGCCGTAGGTATGAAAAAGTAAAATACAAAATGGTTAAACGCTTACATTTCAATAAAACTTCCACTTATAGTTTACATTCAAAATGATAAATATTTCTATTACACAAATAAAAATATCAAACAATTCTAAAATCACTAAACTTCCGCGGCTGACAACGAAAATATAACAGCACTTTTTGTTTTGGACCTGCATATCAACATTACGCTGTTAATAACTGTTTGTTGTTAGAAATAATATAAATATCTAATTATAACTTACTAGAAATTTTAATATTATTTTATTTTTTTTTTTTTTTTTTTTTTTTTAATAATAACTAACTTTTATTCAAGATGACATTTTAGACGGCAACTGACATATATGTAATATTTGAATCTTAAATACCTATGTATGTATGTAATATAATTTAAATTACTATAATACAACTTTACTCCCCCAAGAAAACATTTATACATTCACAAAAATACAACAAGTGTAATAATACTTAAAAAACAATAATAAACATGAATTTAAAAGAATGAAAAATTACAGCGCGACTCTACCATTAAAATTAGATGATTAAATTTTCGCAATTTTTCACCATTTGATGACCGGTAGCGCCTCTAAATGTTTGTTCAGCAGTTGAGCTTTACTCCCTTGTAATATTCAAAGAAAAGAAATTAAAGAGATTTTGTGAAGTTTAATATCTACCTACTTAAACTACAA